CTCCAACCCGCCCGGGAGGACCTGGCGATGCGCTCTACGGCCTCGCAGGGTTAATCGTCTTGTGCCCTCGGTCGCCTGGATTCGGTGGAAGGAGGATGATAATCTAGATTGCTATGTGTGTGTGTGTGTGCGCGCGTGTGCGTGTCCTAGCAGTTCTGCATTGCAACACTTGCTAGTGGAGAAGCAAGAGAAACCCCCCGGCATTGGGATTAAAAAAAAAAAAAAATCAAAAATTTACCTGGGGTCCCTGGCTTATTTCTTCTTTTTCGTCTTTAATAGTCCCTCTCAGCAAAGTGAGAGACAGGAATCGCATGCAGGGAAAAGTCCTCAAGGACCCCGTGATCCTGGAGGAACCTGAACAGGACCCTCGTGCGGACATGTGCGGCTTTCCTGCGCACTCCTGGAGGCTCGGTACGGCCGCGGGGTTCCTGCCACAGTAGATCCAGCCCTGGGAAACGGCGCGTCTTATTCGTCTCTGTGTGGTTACTAACCTTCCCCCTCCCTCCCCTTCCCCGCTAGCACTCGCTCTCTCGCACACACAGTCTCTTTTCTTCTTGAGCACACACGCACACCCCTAGAGCCTCGGAAACGACTCTCCTTTTCGCTAGCATGGGTCCCCTGGCATCATGAACGTTATTCTCTCTCCCTGGCTGGAATTCAGACTGCCCGTCTGTAGGTGTCTTGTGCCTTGACCATGCACCTGAGAATAGACCCCAGCATTTGCCCGGGACGCCGCCCCGCCTGGACCCTGTGGATGTGCTCCCTCTTTTGGGGATGTATCGTCAGCTCTGTGTGGAGTTCCTCTAACGTGGCTTCTTCTGCCTCCTCTTCCTCGTCTGTTTCTCAGGCTCAGTATGAGCATCACTTCCACGGCAGCAAGCACCACTCTGTGCCTATCTCTATCTACCGCTCCCCTGTCTCCCTCCGAGGAGGACACGGTGGGTTCCCACTCTTGTTTCTTTCTAACCTTTTTGCAGAGCAGTTGGAGCAGCAGAGGGGGAGCAGGGACGATGGCTGTGTCTCCGGGGGAGGGGGGTCCTCCCTGCCCCTCATATTTCTGCCCCCTCCCCATTAACCCCCACTCCTCCCCTGCCCCCGAGCCGAGCCTGGGGCTGAGGACGCACCCTTCCAGAGGCGCCTTCCCGGGCCGCTGTGCTCCAGCAGGACGGAGGGTGGGGGCCGGGACGGGCTCGAGTCGCTCCGTGGCAGCGCCGAACAGCTCGGGACGGTGGAAGGGCATCCGCTGCTGTCCCGCTGGGATCCTGCCACGGGGAAGCACTAACTCCCTGGCTTGTAGTGGCTGGCATGGTCATTGCAGCAGCGCAGCTTCCCCGCCGGCCACGCTGGTTTCCCGGTTGGCCGGCTGCGCGAGGGCCAGCCGGAGCTTGGGGAATTGCCGCCGCTCCTCCCCTGCCTGCGCGCTCGCAGCGTTCCTGGGTGAGGAGAGGAAGGGGCGTACAAAGGAAAAGGCGAGGTCTCGTTCCTGCTCCTGGCTTCCTGCTTGGTATCTGGTACTGTCTTCCTGGGAAACCCTGGGGCAGGAAATAATAGGGAGTAGGTTTTCAGTCTGGCAGCAAGGGAGAAGGGGAAGAGAGTGTCTAAAGAGAGAGTGAGAGGGCCAGCATCTTGCCCCTGAAATGCTGAGCAATGCTCAGCATCTGGACCTACACAGTCTCTTAACCAGCTCTCTCAAGTCTTCCTACCCTGACAGGAGTTGGCCTAGGCCTGTCAGGCATGGGGGCTTTTCCTCATCTCCACCTTCTCCTGTCTGCTGTCCTTGTCCTTAGCTCCTGTTTTCAGTCAAATCAGCTGGGAGAGGCCGGCAGGCCAAGGCCTGGGCCTTTCCCTCCAGGGCTGCAGGTCAGGGTCAGGTCTGGCCTTCCATCGTAGGAGTATTCACCTAGAGATTCACATTGGTGCAGGGCAAGAAGAGGAAGAACCAGTATGAGAAATGAAACATAGGCACGCTTTGAAGGAGAGGGAAGGGAAGGAAGGACGAGCCCTGGCACAGTTGGTGCCGCATGACATGGCTGCAGCAGAGACTATGGGGACGTGCTGGCAGGGCTGCATCAGGATTACCAGGATATTGAAACCTGGAGCACTGGAGCACAGATAAGTGCTCAGACGACCAGCAGAGCAGTCTGAACGGTTCAAATGGCACAGCGATGAATGGAGCTCCAGTGAGATCTCTAGGTGCGTTGGCAGAGCTGTGGAAGAGGCTCGGTATTGCAGGTCTGAGCCAAGGAGCGCTGGAGGGGGAAAGGGCTCAGGAGCACAGCCAGGAGGCAGATGCTGCAGGTCACAGCTGAGCACCAGCGGAGCAGGTCTGTGCTAGCAGGAGGTGCCCTGGCAGAGCTGCTGGAGGGCATTGGGAGAGGGTGACAGGGAGCTCTGCAAGGTAGGTCGTGATGCTGTGGCAGTGCGGGAGGGGGAGCCCAGGGCACTGCAGAACAGCACCGTGCTGCAGAGGCCAGGGCTCAGGACTGAAGTGGCACTGGGTGCAGTAGGTTGAGTGGGAGGTGTTCAGCCATTTCTGCAGACACAAGTGGCACTGTCCTTTCAGCCTATCAAACTCCCACTTCTGCTCCAAAGTTCAAATCCATCCTAAAATGCAAGAGAAACATTCAGGCCCTACATGGGAAGGGACTCAATGCTATGCCAGACATTGAGACCATCTGTTAAGCACCACCCATGTGAAACTCAGTTATGGGTTATTAATCACTAGCAGCAGGAGCCCTGTTATTTGTAGCAATGCTTGAGGACCATGTGAGAGAGTCCCTGTTGTGCTAAAGCAAGACATATGAGGGATCAGCCAGTCACTGCCCTAAAAGGTTTTCAACCCCTCAGCTTTTGTAGCTTAGTTCTGTGATGAAAGGGGATAGCAAAGTCTGGCTTGTAGGTCACTTGTGAAGAAAGGAGAGAAGGATGTCACAAAATGTGATAGTGTTTGGCTGTGCTGTTAAAGTCAGGCAGTAGTCTGTGTGAGAGTCTACAGTGTGTTTCCTGGTCAAGAAATGATAGCTCTTTTCTCCTTGATGGCTTTTCCATCTGCCCTGAAAGTCAAGCAAAGCCTCATTTAAGAGTCAGGATCAAAAGCAGTTATCAACTTCAGTGAGAAACAGGCATTTTTTTGATGTCCCCATTGCAGAAAGGAATCAAGGGAAATAGAGAATTCAGGGAGCTCAGGTTAATGCATAAGTCAATGTTAGTGGTTTGGTTTTTTGTGGGATTTTTTTTTTCTTTCCTCATCATGCCTTGTAGCAAAGCTATCATAAAAACCTCCTTTGGCCACGAATAAGAGGGTGAATGAGGTGGGCAGATTGAGAGAGGAAGAAGAGACCACAAAGACAGCTGGTCTTGGAAACATGCATGGTTTATTTTTGTGTGTTCTTTCACTGTTGCACAACAGAGACCCTTGGAACTTGGATCTGTAACAGCGTTGAGGAGTCAGATTCCAAAGAGACTGTGCACTCCCTGTGTTTCCTGGGATTTTGATAATTTGTTTTTTCCCTAGAGAAATAAATTCATTCTGATTGCTGCCGTGCTTAGTGACTACATTAATACTGGTTTTGGAAGGAATCATATCAGGATCATTACCACCCTGCTGTGTTGTCTTCCAGCCCCACAGTGCTGACCACTGGGACTCAGTCTTGTATTTAAACATATTTTCCTTTTTTCCTCCTACATCCCAGTGGATTTCAATCTGTTTGAAGAAGCAAATTAATATCTAGCACAGAGGAAAAATAAATGTCTCATGAACAGTGAGCACTTGTTTGGAGCCTGTGTCTTAGTGCTCCTTTAAAATCAGTGGAGACCTTCTTGTGGCTTACCTTGAGCAGGACTGGACCCAGATCTGGCAGTCACTGCTGTGCTGGTGTTACAAGAGTTAATTCTGAAATCACCCAGCTGGTGCTTTATGGTAGTTGGGCTGCATCCTGCAAGTGCAAAACTTGGCACAGCACATCTTCTCAAGGAGAAAGTCTTTCTAACAGATTTACCTCCTTCTCAGCTGAGGAGTGAGCCTGGCCAGGCAGGGGACTTCAGCAAGTTAGAACAAATCTTTTTTCCACGTGAGGACCTTCCTTGACTAGCAGAATGTTTATCCCTTAATAATAGGAAGGGAAACCCTTGATTCCTTTTTGTTTCACTAGGGGCTTGTGAAACAGAGGGAGGAACAAAGTTGGGGCAGTGTTTATTCAAAGTTCACATGTGCTGAATCCTCCTGTCTCCCCTGGGCTGTTTAGCGCCGTGCTGGGTCAGCTGCTTTACTGGAGCCTGCAGCAGTGACTTCACAGCCCTTCTTTCCAATCCTTGTGGCCTCAGCTGATGAATAATGTGTGCCTCTGGTTGACAGATAAAATGAAGGGATTTTGTGTGTGTTTGGTCTTAGTGATGAATTAATTAATTTACTTTCTCTTTTCCTTCTCCGGGTCTTTGTTCTCTGGCTGTCCTTAATGGCTGTGGAGCAGAGGTGCTCGGAGAGGATGTGTGATGCCTTGGTTGCCCCTGGCTGCAGGGACTGCTCTGCAGCTGTGGGAGCAATGCTGGGCACAGGATAGTTTCTCTTCATTTTCACTTTGTGGAGCCTAGGCTAGCCTGGGCTGTTACACTAGTCTTAGGAAAAAGTGTAAGTCTGTTGTTAGGACTTGGTAGTGAGCAATCACCAGATCTTGTGGGTATAACTCTCAGGCCTGAATCAATTCTTAGACATTCTGTTAATTATATGAAACATTTCCTTCTCTTATGTCTTTTTTAAAATTAGCAAATGAGAGTGAATGCTTGGACATATCAAGAGTGTTTCCATAAGATAGGCAGGGATTCTGCAAAGCAATGTCAAAGATTGCCACACACAGCTCTAGCAGTGCACCCTTTCTTAGAATACATATGTCCTTGCTGCCCATCCAGTGTGACCGGTTCCTCATCTCAAGATTTTATGTTCTTGCAATCCTGCCTTTTCCTTATGAGAGGAAACAGATTCCCCATCCTTGGCACTGCGCATTCCCCAATACAAAGCAGGACCTTTCCCTTTCCTCCTTCACCAGGAGATTATTTTGAGCCAAGATTGGTAGTTTTAACAAAATGGAAAAAATCGCTCTGTGCAAAGCAGTCAGCGATCCAGCAAAATTAACTTCACTCAGAGCTGAAATTAGGGTTGCAATTAAGTTCTGCAAAGGTGAAATGCTAGTAGTCTGTCTACTTTCTGTGGCTTGCCTTTGTTCTCTTATCAACAATGAAGCCTAATTTTTTGGCAAAGACTAGTGCTGGTGTATGCCTGAATGTTTGCATTCCCTTCCAAGGAGATGTTAACAATGATTAATTATTTT